TTTCTTGGTCCTCCGGATGCATGGCAATTTGATGGTAGCCTCTGTAGGCGTCCAAGAAGCTCATGCATTGATAATGTGCCATTGCATCTACGAGTTGGTCTATTTTGGGAAGGGAAAAACAATCCTTGGGACAAGCTTTGTTTAAGTCCATGAAATCCACACAAACATGCCAAGATCTATTCTTCTTCTTTACAACCACGATATTGGATAGCCATGTAGGATAGGTTACTTCGCGAATTTCCCCGGCATCAAGTACTCGATCAACTTCTTCAAAACAACCAAAGTATACTCCGCGGCTGACCGCCGACTTCTCTGAATAATTGGCTTACATTTTGGATCAATGTTTAAGCGGTGCTGGACTATAAACGGATCCACCCCTAACATCTCGTATGGTGACCATGCAAATACATCGAGGTTGCCGAGTAAGAAGGATACAAGCTCTTGCCTTTCAACTTTGTTCAGGGAAGCACCGATCATGAAGAACTTGTCAAGATTCCCGTTTATTTTGATTCGATCCAAGGCTTCGGTTGCCTTTTCACTCAGCGTCTTCCCAATGTCCTCAAGGCTTTCCCGATCTGGTACCTCAATTGAATTCACCTCTAGCTCTTTTGGTCTCTTTGTAGCAAGAAGATAGCATGCTTGTTCCGATTTTTGAGAACCTTGAATTTGTTCGATATCGTACTCAGTCGAAAAACGAAGTAGTTGATGGTAGGTGCTCGGCATGGCTTGCATAGCATGCAACCAAGTTCTTCCCATGATGAGATTGTATGGTGAAAGAAGTTTGACAACTAGAAATTCTACATCTACTAATCTAGTGCCTGCCCGAACTAGTAATGTGATTTTGCCCAAAGGATACTCCGGGTTAGCATTGAAGCCGAATAATAGATAATCGGCCAAAGACAGATTCGAGTCAGCGAAGCCGACTTTAACAAAAGTTTTGTAATACATTACTTCTGAAGTACTTCCTTGATCAATGAGAACACGTTCAATGGTGAATATGTTCACGTGTAGCTTGATGGCAAGCAGATCAGTGTGGGGGAGAGTTATTCCGACTAAGTCAGTGTCATCGAAGCTAATCCTCCCTGTTTCATGGGCCATTTCGTTGGCGTGATTGGCCTATGTGGGCTAGTCTGCAACTAAATTGTATGCACCTCGGATGACGTCGGCAAGTTGTATATCATATGAATTACACCAAGTGAAGGTGAATCTGACCGTAAGGCTACTGTGTTCGATGAATTATTCTTCCAGATGTGTTACACCAGCCGACCGTCTTGCACCAGCTCCTCCAGGTGATCCTTCAGTGCATAACAACTGTCGGTGTCATGACCGTGGTCTTTATGATACTCACACCGTTTATCCCATCTCCTCGTATTAGGAGGTCCCATCATCTTAGGCGGCCACTTAAAGAACTGAAGGTGTTGAACTTTTGACAAAATCTTACTGATCGGCTCTGTTAACTCCGTGTATTTCTTGTCTGAGCGCCTTGTGCACCTGTTATCCACTTGATATTGTTCATTCGCTCGATGTAAGCATTGATCATTTGATCGGTGTGAGTCACGCCTTTTGTCTTGTTTAGCCCGATTCCATGGTTCAGGGCTCCTTGATGCCATGACACTTATCGGCTGAACGATTCCTGGCAGAGTCGTCTCAACGGCTTTCTACCTGTCTTTGAATTACAAGGCATCGTCTTTCATTTTGCAATACTCTTCGACTTTCTTCATTAACGCCTAGACTGTTTTGGGGGGCCGTCTGGTCAATGAACTGAGGAAGGGACTATCAGGATGCAATCCCATCTTAAAGGCGGTAATGGCCATGGAGTCATTGCAGGCATCATCCACCAGATTAAAGCATTCTCAATAGCGTGCCAAATATTCATGAAGGGTTTCTTCTGGTTTAATTTGCATCGCCCAGAGAGAATCGGCTTGCTTTAGCTGGATCTCATTAGTGATGAATCTTGCTCTGAAGGACTTTTGGAGTTAATGGAAACTCTTAATCGATGCCGGCTCCAGTTTATAATACCATCTAACGGCCAATGGTCCCAGACTACTTGGAAATATTCGACACATGAGGGCTTCACCATCAGCATGAAGTGTCATCGCTTGTTTAAAATGACGAATGTGATCAGTGGGGTCTGATTTTTCGTCGTGCAGGGTGAACGACGGTGCTTTGAACTTCTTGGGTAGCACTACCCTCGCAATTTATCGTACAAAGGGGTCATGCTTATCTTCCTCATCCGAATCATCATTCCTTCCTCGCTTATGCTGTGTATACAGACTTCCTTCAAATGAGCTGGATACGTCAACCCATCATTTCTTTCTAGGTTCCAGGGATGGTAAGTTAGAATTACTGTCATTATCGTGTTTCCGAAGTCGACGTCGTCGACTATCTTTCTTTCCCGAAGGTCAACCCCAGTCTTGGCATGCGACCTGTTGGGATTTTGCCACCTCCAAGGCCAAATCCTGGTGCAGGCGCTCGTTCTCAGCCATCATGTTCTCCAGCCGCTGTTCATTTTGCTTCGCTTGATCCATAATCGTCTGCATTGTCTCATGTACTGATGTCGAGGGTGAGGTCTGAGCTACTGAATTAAAGTCAAGGCTCGTCGTGCGGTGATATTCTCCAATCCAAGCATGTTTCTTGGAGTGAAGTTGTCTCTTGGTGTAATTTTGTCAATGACTATCGGAGGATCTTCTGTTACGCCCGCCATGGATGTGCTTGAGTATTCCCACAGATGGCACCAATTGTGGAGATGTGGTTTGGAAATACTCTTGGATCTTGTAGGACGTTCCTGATCCTCTGATTGCCACCTGAAAAAGGATGAACACTTCAATCGGAGGTGCTGGAATTAGCACTCCGATAGACAAGTTAGTATATGCTCTCTAGTTAGCTTCTATCTCAAGTTTATTTTATCTATTCTCACATACCTCTCTTTGGTTGATGTTCCTCTTATTTATACTCGTCTCTAGTCCCAGGGGTCGAGCCCACTTTTAATCCAGCGCACAACTGCTCATCTGGCCTTTCTGTCGTATACCAATTCCCACTCAGCTTCTTGTACGACTGATTCCATGGCCGATTTAAATATTTGGCTTCAGGACCCCCCAGGACAGAGCCAAATAGTATTTGTCCTGATTTCCTTCAAATATATTTGGCTTTCCTAAATATAAATTTATTTGGCTCCCACAAAATCCATGTACCTATAATCTTTGATTCATAATAAAACAAATATAGATGTGTGTGTGTGTGTGTATGGAACTTTCAATACAGATATGAGTTCGATGAGAGGAGAAGAGAAAATGAAAGAGGGGCACAAATACCTGATCGAAATTTTTGGGCAATAAATTATCAATCAAGTTCAGTGATTGAAGATTTCCAATTGAAGCAGATGATGATCCTTGATTGGAAGTGTTTGCTGAATGATGGTGCGAATCAGAGATTATTACCAGAGTTAGATCTGCAATTTCACTTCGAAGCAAAATTGCAAAGCAGATGGAACATAAATAAACAAATCCATGGAAATCAATATAGAGATCTGAGTTTGATGAGAAGGTAAGAGTAAATGAAAGAGGGGCACAAATACCTGATTAAAAATTCTAGGCAATGAATCTTTAATCGAGTTCATTGATTGAAGATTACCAATTTGAAGCAAATGATGATCCTCGATTGGAACGGTTTGCTAAATGATGCTGCAAATCAGAGTTTGCTACTAGAGTTAGATCTGCAATTTCACTTCGAAGCAAAATTGTAAAGCAGCTTGAACATAAATAAACAAATCCATGGAAATCAATATAGATCTGAGTTTGATGAGAAGGTAAGATAAAATGAAAAAGGAGCACAAATACCTGATCGAAAATTCCAGGCATTGAATCTTCAATCGAGTTCATTGATTGAAGATTACCAAATGAAGCAAATAGATCCCTGATTGGAAGGGTTTGCTGAATGATGCTGCGAATCAGAGTTTTCTACTAGAGTTAGATCTTCAAAACTCGTCGATGGTGGTTTTTTGAAGCTACTCATGAATGGCCTCCTGCAAAAAGCCATGAACATTGAAACTCTCTCTCCTCGATAAATTTTTCCTTTTAGTTTTCCCGAGTCTTTTCTCATAGATATAAAAAAGAATTGATGTTCTAGAAGGTCCTCCTATTTCTTAATTTATTTCTCACTCCCTTTCCTTTTCCATATATTTTTTATTATAACCAAACAAAAATGGGATTACATTTCCCTTTCCCTGTTCAAATCCCTCTCCAAATCCCTAACCAAGCACAACATTAGGATATTCTTGTTTCTTTCTAGTCGTTAATAATATTAAGTACATTGAAAATGTAATGATAGGGACCTTTTTTCAGTAGTTCTTGTTTTAAGATGTCATTACCAATTTTGTTGTGGTTGTGAGAGCTTTCTATTTATTGCAAGGAAACAGGAGGGCTCCCCGGTCCAGCAGCCATTATTTTATTCCCTATAATATTCTATCCTTCCCTAACTTCTATCTTGTCCGTGGTTCTTCCATCATAAAATGAAGGGAAGGGGGAGGAATCTGACTGCTTAAGATTAGTAAGTTGGAAAGGTGGTTATTTGGTAAAAGGTATGTATGGGAAGGATGGATAGGTCGATGTAAGGTCAGGAATGCTCTCTGTTGGCAGGCTGTTTCTTTCGTTATGTTTTTTTGTAACCCTTAGGTTAAGAGTTTTTTCATTCAATTGTCCAAGAATGCCTGTGCAAATGTGGTCTAATAAATAGGCAAAATGTTCACAACAGGGATTATGCAGTTAATCTATAATGCCTGTTTGTTTATCAAAAACGAATATATTTAACATCAAGAACCCAGGTTAGTCTTGGGAGTCTGCTCTGTCTGTCCTATTGATTGGCCGGATCACCAAAGCACATTCAGTATATATACAATAAAAGAACAATTCAAATAATTGAGTGAAAGAAATGGCAGGAACAAAAGTGAGTCGGCAGAAAGGCTTAAGAAATAGCATGTAGCAAAGAGTGAGTCTGCAGAAAGGCTAAAGAATGCATTCCAAAGCAATGTTGTGTTCGAGATAAATGATAGCCTACATTGCCTTATGAAAAATCGGTGCATCATACCCACCGAATACAGCAAGATACATTACACACAATGGCAAAATGGGATAAAATTTCTGGTCCCCAACCTATTCCATTTTAAAAGGGCCTCATTTGTTATTCTAGTATTATATATACATCAATCCCACTTGATAGTTTCTACCCTTTATTGTCCAACTTCTCCCTATTCCGATCCCTCAAACCCGATTTAGAAAGGCTCTTGAGTGTTCATAGTTTTCACTGGCTATCTATATGATGCAAACCTTCCAACCTCAGGGCATGGACTGACTGTGAAAAGATGGGATTTTCAAACATGATACTGGTAGAATCCCCACATATGAGTACCGGCAACATAAGACATTATGGTAAGCATCAATGAGATTCTGCAGAGTGATAATGAGACCAGTATTCCTTGACAAGTTTCCCAAATAGTGAACCTTATGTTTTCATTAACTTCATTGGCTCATCATACTCTACCAATTTCCCTGTAAAGAGAATATAAACATTGGCTTCAAAATTCTAGAATGTTCCAAAACGAGAGTGATTGCAGGAAGTGCTATTAGGCAAGGATTGATTGAAAAGGACCAAAAAAATTCACCTTCGCTGATAGCCAGAACCATTGTGCAATCCATCACAGTTGGCATTCTATGGGCCACGGTGATCACTGTGCAGTCTGAAAACTTAGTACTAATGGTTTTTGTAAAATCAAGTCGATTGCATTGTCGATTGATGCAGTAGCTTCATCGAGCACCAATATCTTGCTTCTCCTCAAAAGGGCATGCCCCCAGCAAAACAGTTGCCTGTCCCATACTCCAATTCGAACCATCATCCGCAATTGAGTTTAGGGAGAGAAAGAGAGAGAGACAGAGAGAGAGAGGATCTGACCGTTAAAATTTACTAGGAAAAGGTAGATGGATCTGAGTTAAAATTTTGGCTTCTCACCCAAGGAGTCTAGGCTATCTTCTTTCTCCACGACAGCCTCTCTGAGCTGACACTTTCCAAGAGCCTTTTAAAATAACGAAAAATATCATATAGTTAGAAATAGCAAGCTAACATAAATAAAAAAGAAGACCTTTTCTTAATATAAGCATTGTTCTGAGTCAATAGATCAATAACCTTCCTAATGCTAATACTACACCACACACAACATGTACACAGTGAAGGATTAAGAAATTACCTCCCATATTTCGTGATCAGTATGTTGAGATAAGGGATCCAAATTGTATTTCACAGTTCCATTAAAAAGAGTAGGATCTTGAGGTATAATCCCAAAATGTGACCTTAAATCATGAAGCCCAAGCTTAGATATGTCAATTCTGTCTACCACAATCTTGCCTCCTACAGGCTCCACCAGACGAAATAAAGCACCTATCAGAGTCGTCTTCCCATTGCCAGTTCTTCTAACAATATCAATTTTGTGTCCTCCTTCAAATGTGCAACTTATCCCACGAAGAACAAGTGGTGCATCAGGCTTATATCTGATCTGTTTTGACATCATGTATATATTTCTCAGTCAGTGTGCTACTATCCTTTGTCAGTTTAAATGCCAATGCACAAAAAATTTGCCTACAAATCTTGAATCTCCACTTTACCCCTAGTCGGCCAATTTACAAGGGGTCGGTTCTCTTCTATCACTTCTGGAGCTTCACTTGGTATGTGCATATATTGGTTGAGCCTTTCCACAGAAATTATGTAATTTGCTAGAGTGCACTGGTTTTGAATGGACATAACAAAGGACATGTTCAATAAGAGACCATAGGACAAGGCCATTCCAATAAATCCTGCAAAAATAACACAAGGTAATGAGAAACATCATATAAAAGAATCAATTGCAGCCATTATATTTATTATTCTATTAATTCATTTCCAACAGATTTGCAGTTTATAGAGCAGCCACACTAATTTTTTCTTGTTCATATCTATTTTCTGTCTTTAATATTAGTCTATGGCTATCTATTTCCACCTTACTTTCTCTTCTTCCTTCCCCTTATGTCTCAACCCTCTACATATCTGTAAATTTGAGATTCAAAATAATAATAATTTTGATTCGGATGCACCCTAATTTGTTTGGAATATAGCAATAATAAGAATAAAGAAAAATTAGATAAATACCCACCAGAGCTGAAAGTTCCCGAAGGGAGCAAAACCATGCACTGATGAGGAGAGAACAACTGCAGCAAGTGTTTCGAGCTGCTAGATCAGCCACTCATTTGCTGCAAAACTGTGGAAAAATGGAGTAGCATTTACATCGATGAGGTCAAGATTCTTGACAAAGAACTGATCTTCCTCCTCAAAAGCTCTTATTGTCATGGATCCTGCTATGGACTCAGCAAGATGGTTTGCTACCAAAGACTTGGTTGTGCCATTGAGCTGCATCAATTCTTTTGCAGTGGCGAAGTAGTATCTCTGTGAATAATGCAAGTTTCCAACAATTTTAGCAGTTGAGATTTGAGATTTAACACACACACAGTGACAAATCCACTCATAAGGAGGAGGAAAAAGAAGCAGCAAGACACAAGAATTATCACATTCTGCTTTATAAAGTTTCTGCAACATTAATTATATTTAATTTTTTTTTCTACTTCAGTTGATTCATCAGTTCACATACCGGCTTATGCCCCCCACCAATTCACTCAACCACTTCGTATTGATTAGGGCTTGAAAAAACTCAAATTATAAGTTTTGAATCGTACGTCATATGATTTTAACAACTATGATCATTAATAACACCAATTGCCAAAAAAATCCTAAATCTCCTTATCAAGGTTCTGAAAAGCGGTTGTGGTCGCTGTAACGGTGGCGGTGGCGCGGTTGCGGTTGCGGGGTGTGAAGGCCGTAGCGTAACGGTTGCGGTAACTGGAACTGTGAATTTTTTTATTTTTTGCACAATTGGAAAAAAACTTACCGATATGCATATTTTTTTTCCATGATTATATTTATTGGGTTAAAAATAAATATTGATCAATTTTTGTAAATTTTTAAGTATGATCCAATATATTTCATATTTTTAAATCACTATAAATTGAGTTTTTTTAAATTTTATTTTGATAATTAATGACTTTATATTATACAAAAAATCAATCACTAACTATTATATATAAGAAAAACAATGACAAAAGTAAGAGAATAAATAAGAGCTTAAATATATATATATATATATTAATCAAGCCAAATAAATAATGATCACACTTATTATTATTATTATTATTATTATTATTATTATTATTAAATAACATATAGATAGACACACATAAACAAAATGGTTGAGTGATAGCGGCTGAATAGAATAACATAGGTCTTATAACTTCAATAAATCAACATGTTCTTCATCTTCCCTCTTCTCTCTCTCTCTCTATTTCCTCCAACTTCCCTCTATCTCTCTTCCCCCATTTTCAACTTTTTTTTTTTGTGTGTTTTTTTGAAAGAAGCAATTCGAAACCGTTGTGCGTAACAGGCCGTTACAGCACCATTACGACCGCTATAACAGCTGCTACGGCTGATACACCTGTGAATTTCAATCACACTGCAAAAGCGGACGTAACGGGTAGCGGTAACTACCAGAACCGTTACGTAACGGCGTTACGTAACGGTTGCGGCCGTTTTTAAAACCTTGGTTATGAGTAATAAATTTATGATGTGAACCCTAAAATTACAAATGATAAGAAAAGTTATGACCTAATTCTAGATTCATTTTTATTTTTTATTGATGGCAGTAGATTCATGAATGGAAGGAGTTGTAATACAATTTAAAATCTCAATGGCTAGATGTAATTTTCATAACATGAGCTAGTTAAATGTATTTTTTAATGGTGTATTTGCAATTAAACCCTTTTCCACAAAAATTAATAGCACGTTTGATTCGGTAAAATAAGTCAAACATTCCATTTTTGTATTTCCTTTTTGTTTTGTTTAGTATATTTTATTCTCATTCCAATAAAAAGTAGACAAAAATACTTTTTCCTTCTCCTGAACGGGGTGGGCAACAATTTCCTTCTCCTTATTCTGTCATTGTCATGACTCCTTACTTGGCCAGATCCTTAAGCTGTATGTGAAAATTTGGGTAAACAACTAGTGACCCAAACTTTATTGTTTGGACTGTAACACTGATAAACGACTCATCGTTAGTAATTCTTCTTATAATTTCCATTTTCTCTAAATAATCAGAGTCCTGGTGAACTTCAAAAATCTCAGCGGTTACAATTATCCCATATTGAACCTTATAGTTCTCATCATAAATAAACTATATATATGCCAAATGAAAACAAAAAGAAAGACTAAAATGATGAGAGTCTACTTATACATGGCTGATAGGTCAAGATCTAATCTTTAATGTTGTTAACTCTATTTAACAAGGATGGGGTTTTTTTAAGGCCCAAATGACTAATTTGTAAGGGTTGAGAATTGACTTGTACAAAAATTCTGAAACAGAAATAAACAAAATCTGGAGCAAACTGAAAAGTTGACGCAAGCATGATCAACTGATTATGATAACCAGCAACTTGACAAAATCAATAATCAACTAATTATCATGGTCATCCAACTTAACAAAATTAGTTGATGTTCTGTAGTGGATGCATGCATTAGACATAAGGAAGCGGGACTCGGGAGACACCCTTTTTGTATAGCTGGAAAGCATCACCAAGCAAAGGATATACATGGACAACATATAAATCAGAGAGACGGAAACTCACAAAACACAAAACGCAATATGTAATGTAGCATACTATGAAGCACGGACATCTCTACGAGGGCAGCGTATCAGTGTCGGACACATGTCAGACACAGACACGCGTCGGATACGCGGTGGACACAGTGTCCGACATGCAGCAGAGAGTGTCCGAATTTTTTTTTTTATTTTTTGGCAGTCAGACACGTAGTGGACACGTAAGCGGACACGATCGGGACATATTCGGGGTCAATTTCATAATTTATGAAACTTCTGTGGGGGTCAATTTGTAAAAAACAAAAACCAAACAATATCTAACCCTAAATCGAGAGAGAGAACAGAAAAGAAAGAGATAACAGAGAGGAACCTAGTCGTCGGTGGTCTTTCGTCGTTCGTCAGTGGTCGTCGCTCGCTGCTGTTGCAGTTATCTAAGGCTTCTTCATCCTTCTTCGTTCTTCTTTTTCGATCTTCTTCTTCTTCTTCTCTCTCTCTCTCTCTCTTCTCCTCTAATTTGAGCTTTTATTTTGTTTTTTCTTTTTTTCTTTTCCTTTTATATGGTCAGGGTAAATCATCAACTGTCTCTCTCTCTCTTCTATTTTGAACTTCTATAATTTTTTTTATATCGATGAAATACAATTTTATACTATTTGTATTTTTAAATATTTATTTTTATAATTTTAATAGTGTTATTTTGCATTTTTTATTATCTTTTAATATATTTTTTAATTATATTTATTGAACGTGTCCCCAGTGTGTCGCGTCCCTTATTTTTTGAAAATTTGCATGTCCCCCGTGTTCGTGTCGTGTCCATGTCATGTCACGTGTCCGTGTCCGTGTCTATGCTTCTTAGCTAGTATTTGTTCTGTCTCATGTCCTATTTCTTCTTTCTTGGCTAGTCTCCCATCATTGGTTTCTCTTCTCACTGGGCCATCTTTTTAATGGGAACCCCGACGTCACTCGTAATTCATCAGATAATGCCCAGTACAACCATGGTTGTCAAATTGCGACACGAATCGTGAATCATTTTGCTAAAATTTTGAATTGTGAATCGTAAGATTCACTTTTTTTTTTTTAATTAAATCTATTTAAATATATATGTGCATAGATATAATGAAGTTTTATTGAGCAAATAATTTACTTATTAATATAATTTTTAATTTTTAATAAGTAATTATCAATTTCTAAGTTAATTAATAGTTTCTAAGTTAATTAATGTGTAAATGCCAGCAGGTTGCACTTCTATTTAACCTGCATTTTTTTTTTAACCAATGGTGTGTTACCCAAAACGTAAAGTGTTAAACCACGGGTCCTGATGTATTATCTAGGAAACAGTTGTCATATAGCTTTATTTGTTAACAGCTATCTTCAACAGCGCCAAAGCCAAAAAGATTTAAACAAACGAAGAGATAGGCACAAGTTCACAGTCTCTCTATCTCTCTCTAGAAACTGCTTTACGTCTACCTGAAGAAAAAAAAAAAAACCTCAGTCAAAATAAAGAAAAAGAAACAGAAGGAAAGAGAGATAACAGAACAGAAAAGTTATAGAGTGAAGAGGAGATGCATACCTGGTTCCCGACCTACAGTGCCTTCGTATGAAAAATAATGGATGCTCTATCTTCTCTGATTACAAAATACAATCGTCTTGATAAGAGCAACAAAGGCGATCACTTCGTTTTTTTTGTTTGATTATCTCAAAGTGATTCAACTTAGATGATAATGACAACTCAAATCTAAAAATTGGGATAAGGGTACTACATCTGGGATATAAACCCTAACTACCATTTAGATCATCTCTTTTGTTTTGTTTATTTATTTATTTTTTGTTGTTCCTCTTGTTGATTTGTTTTTGTTTTTCTTTTTGGTTGTGGTTGTGATTGTGGTTGTGGTTTGGCTTGGCTTGGTGTTGCAACAGATACAATTAGTTTGGCTTTATATTTTAACAGATAGGATTTGTCTTGGCTTAGTATTTCAACAGATAAGAATTTTAAACAAATGGCATTTTACACAAATAGCTTTTGAACAGATATAATCAAAATTTCAACAGATAAAATTTTCATAGATAGAATTCCAGAGATTAGAGAATAAAATTGGAATAGATAGATTTAAAAAGATAATTCACCCAAAAAAAGATTTAAAGTTGGTCTGGATCTAATTAGTGGGCTGGGTTTAATCGATGAATTAAGTTATTGGGTTGTTGATATATTGGGCTTGAATTGCTGAAAGTGTGATTAGGTTTAGTTTTGGATTTATTGAATTGGGTTGGATACAAAAGTATGTACGTTAAAGATTGGGCTGGTTTAATGGGTCAAAGTTTAACAAATATGGGTCGGGTTTGGGGATTAAAAGAAATGGGTCGGTTGGTCTTTGAGGTTGAGGTTGAGGTTGAGGTTGAGGTTGAGGTTGAGGTTGAGGTTGAGGTTGAGGTTGAGGTTGAGGTTGAGGTTGAGGTTGAGGTTGAGGTTGAGGTTGAGGTTGAGGTTGAGGTTGAGGTTGAGGTTGAGGTTGAGGTTGAGGTTGAGGTTGAGGTTGAGGTTGAGGTTGAGGTTGAGGTTGAGGTTGAGGTTGAGGTTGAGGTTGAGGTTGAGGTTGAGGTTGAGGTTGAGGTTGAGGTTGAGGTTGAGGTTGAGGTTGAGGTTGAGGTTGAGGTTGAGGTTGAGGTTGAGGTTGAGGTTGAGGTTGAGGTTGAGGTTGAGGTTGAGGTTGAGGTTGAGGTTGAGGTTGAGGTTGAGGTTGAGGTT